GCCGGCCCTGTCAGAGCTCTTATATGAGCCTATTTTAACTTCTTATGGGTTTGGGTAACATTTCTAATTTAACATAATTACTTGTATGTTTGAAGAATATCATTTCAGCTTAGCTTCCTTAATAAACCACATTTCAACTATTTTATACTTTTTTGTTCCTTCTATAGCAGAAGGGAAAGGAGAGAATTTCTCAGAAATTACTGATTATGTGACTAAATATTTTGGGTTCAAGTCAGTTTTTACATTTTTCAATTAGAAGTTATTTAAATCTCACATGAAAAATGGTTCCCTGGTAGTTGAATAAAAATTTCCAGATAGATTGTTTATTCTAAGTGGCAGAAAATTTAACCTATCTTGTGAATTTTTCTTTAAGGTTGTTTACGTAGGCAGTACTTTCATGTTCCAATAAAATATTAGAATGGTAATGAAGGTTTAGTATGGCATTAACTTTTATTTTGCCTTCAATGTAAAAAATGATTTAACCTTATTATTTATTTTTTTTTGACAGAGCAAATTCGATTAAAGAATATCAGAAAAGTATATGGAAGATGTATGTGGTATCGTTTACGATTATTAAAACCCCAGCCAAATATTATTCCTACGGTAAAGTAAGTAATCGGTGTCAATAAGAAAAGTACTTAATGCTTACCCTTTTGCTAGGTATCATCTAAAATAGAGGTGTAGTAATGAATAAAATGTGTCTGTAAAGAAATGGTGGCCTTAGTAAGGGTAAAATGTGAATAGTATAATTTGAGAACTATCTGAACAGAGTGGTTTACAAGTTCAAAGGAGAGAGAGTGTACTTCTGACTTGGGACGAGGGGAGAAAGAGAAGTCAAATCTTGAAGGAAGACCTCGTGCATCTTGTGTCAGGATTTGAATTTTGTTTTAAAGACTATGGGGGAATCTTTACAAGATTATCAAAAGCAGAAGGTGACATGATCAAGCTTGCATTTCATGTTTATTGAACACATACTGTATGCCAGGTGCTGTGCTGCGGTTTTATATGTTATCTCATGAGTTTTATATTAACCTCAAGGTAGATGTTTTTGCTTTTTCTCAGTTGAGGAAACTGAGGCTATCGACATAAGAAATGTCCAAACCTGTAGAGAATTTTTGTAAGAGTTTATTTGAGCCAAACTGACGACATATGCCATGGAGCAAGATCTCAAATGTTCCAGAGAATAACAGTTTTGCAACTTCTTTTATGCGTTTGAAATTAAAGAGAGAACACAAGGAAGATTGCATGGAGGTGGGAAAAAACAAGGCGGGGATTAGATTACAGGATAGCTAATAAGATTATGTGCTTTCTTGAGGGTGGTTGTACCTTATTTCAAAGGTGTATTTAACCTGCATATACATATACAATGGACAGGGCTGGCTTAAGGCAAAGATAAACCTTTTACTAAAAGTTATACGCCTGGGGTATGACTACCCACCATGATCTGCCCAGTTAGGAATTTATGGTCAGATCACCCTGGGAGGTTACTTTCCGTAACTTTTTTTTTTTTTGTCCAACAAGACTAAGAAAATGAGGTAACTTGACCAAGGTCATGCAGCTAGAAGTGGTGGAGCAGGGACCTCGTCACCCTTTATTTCGGCAGGTCCATCACTTAAACAGGCCTTGATAGCAGGTTGAATTAGAGCAGACCTATTGGATTTTGTGAGGCTATGGGGTATGTTGGTTTGGAGCATAGACATTGGGTCTTCACCCCAACTCATCAATTTCGATGTAATAGATGAAACTGACAGGAGGTGAAGGAGTTACCATTATTGGAGGACTGCATCTTGTGAATTACCTACATTTATCTATCCAGTAGATAGGAAGATGTAACAGAGGAAATTAATAAAAGTAGAACCAGTTATGTTTTAATCTTGGTTTAAATGATGATGATAGTTTTCAACACACCTGTGTAACTTCAGGGGGTTTAAATAGTTTTTCTTTTTAAGGCTTGACTTTGCCTGGTTTAGTTCCTTTGTAGAGGGAGGGAAATCTTGGCTTTGTTGTTAAGAGTTCTTCAGTGACGTGAAATTAAAAGACAGAATTAGTGTTTACAAATTTCATGTTCAGTGTTTACTCTTTGCTATTGCTTCTCACTTTAAATTAAACCTTTATGAGGCAGCAAGGCAAATATTACTTTGGCCTCCCAATCTCTTTTTTAGACTTTGGTCGACACTGTGAGCATTTGATCCCCAGTTTTCAAGGAAAAAACCCCAACTGTTTTCCTCAGTGATTCAGTTTATCTTTTCCTCAGTGATTAATAAGCTGATTCACATCAATGGAAGTACAGATTAAAGGTTATTAAACTACAGTTGCATAGATAAGATACTGGTAACAATTCAGATAAGGTCAGAAACCACCAAAACCTTTCTGCTACTTAACCCTGAAGCTTTCTTTCACAATTAAGCGTGATTATATAATACTCTAATTTCTGGAAGTTGCTTGCAAAATGACTTTTAAAGTATGCTTAAAAAAACCCCAAAAACCCAAGACTTCACAAGTTAGCTAATTACTAAAGCTATATGTAGTGAAAATGCTTGTTTTTCAGAGGAACCAAACATGCTTTTTAAAAAAATTGGGCACAGAGTATGGTCAATCTGTTATGTTTCCACCTTTGCTTTGGCTCTTGGGAAAGTAGAGCACAGTTTTATTGGTTGTGGTTTTATTAGTTTTCATCAGCCTGGGGGTTCTGTCACGAGCCTGTCCTCTCCTTTCTTCATTCTTTGGCTCAGAGAGCCAGATGCTACATGTAAAGAAAGCACCTGACAAGGGATGTAGCATATCCTAAGTGTTTTGTTCCCTCTCCCTTCTACCCTTGTTTGCTTTAAACCTTGCTTTAGTGGTTTTTAGTTTCACTTTTATCTTTGTTTTCTAAGCTTTGTTTCCCTGTTGGGAGAGTTGACTAAAGAAAATGTGGAGTTATTAATTTGTGTGGGGAAAAAAGTATTTTTATGTGTTCTTTAGCATATTGAGAGTATTAGCAAACTTTGGGTTTCAGTTAAAAAATTACTATTTTAAATTATTTTCATTTATTTGATAAGTACCTATTGTGTGCCTGCTATGTATGTGTCAGGTATTAAGAAATAGACATGGTTCAACCACTTACAGTCTTGGAGGATACTGGCAAGTAAACAAGTAATGATAATCGAGTTTAGTAAGGGCTGTGAGGGAGATGCGGTGAACGAGCAGAGGAAGAGCTGTTAGCTCTGGCTCTAGGCAGAGAAGGCTTCCCTGAGTAAGTGAGGTCCCAGCTGAGATTTGGGCAAGAGTTGCTAATAATAGCCAGTAGCTGACATAAATTGTTTTACTATCTGTGAGGTGCTTTCTAGGTGTTTTACATACCTAATCTCCTTTAATTCTCAAACCTACCCTAAAAGTTGGAAACTCAGTTGTAAAAGGCTAAGCAACTTGCCAAGATCTCTCAGTAAGTAGTGAAGCTATGAATTGACCTCTGGTAGTTTTGTTCCAGAGCCTGTGTTCCTGACTACCTCGCCCTAGATAGCCAGGTAAAAGGGAGAGTGTTGTAGGTAGGGTTCCCTCTTCTTTTGGCCTGTAGTTAGTGTGGAAAGGAGCTTGCAGTATTATGCCCTTGATAAGGTTTAGAGCATTATTTTCGCCAGATGGAAAGAAATTTGCACCTGAGTGCTAACTGTTTAAGCTACTCTGGAGTTAGTCAAAACTGAATTAAGACCCTGTCCACGTGCTCAAGTTGCTTACAGCAAGTCAAGGGAGGAAAGTCATGGTTTGTGCTTCATTGTGACTGTAACCGCTGTCCCCATTGATCGTCTTGACCAGGATTGCTTCTTCAAGGGTGGATAATTTGAGTTGAGTCTTGAAGGATGGATAGAGTTTGGACTGGCAGAAGTGGGAAATGGGAATTCTAGGTAGAAAAATCTATGGGAGCAAAAGCACGATGGGGGTAAAAGCTTAGGGAACTTTGGGAGATGGGGATTGATTTTGCTTGAAAAACCAGGATGATAAAGGTAAGCGGGTAGGTTGGAACTGGATCAGAGTTTCATTTCAAATAAACACGTTGAAGCTAGGCTCCTACCAGGAGAGCTTAAACACATGGCATGTTTTCTTTCTGTCTTTGAAAACAGGTCACTTAAATTTTGTTTGATTAGGCCTCCTGTGATTCATTTTATGTCTCTTTTTAACAGTTCCTATTCAGTGTAACAAATTGTGAATCAAAGGGTATAAAAGAACAAAAATCATTCAATTTCATCACTTAAAGATAGCCACTAAGATGATTTACCTTCTATATTTTTATTTATAATATGCTTACTTACAAAAAATAGGATATTATATGTACATACAGCTTTGAAAGCTGTTATTCTTTATTTAATTGAACAATACAAGGTAGATAATCTTCCACTACAAATATTATTTTTAGTGGCTAGACAGTATTTCACCATATGGATATACTATTTATTTATTTGTCTAGTACTCTTTTGATGGACATTTGTGTGTGTGTGTTTTCTGCTATTATTTTTATGTTAACCACTCTTTTATACTTTATATATTTAATTTTAGTTTATTTCCTTCTAAATTTCTTGAAGTGGAGTAGATGGATAGTTAAAAGGGTATGTACTTCTCTAGGGCTTTTGAGACCGTATTGCCAAATAGTCCTTCAGGGTGTAGAGTGTATGAGAGTTGTTTTTTTGTTTGTTTGTTTGTTTTTTTCCTTTAGCCTTTCCAACACTGGTAATATCAATATTTTAAATATTTTTACTAAACAGAACATATTGGAGAGAAGAAATTAGTTTTTTCCCCCAAATTATATATTCTTTTATACCTTTTAACCTATTATGCACATCTTTCTACCACCTGCATTGGTTAAAAAGTATTCCATTGTGTGGCTCTACCTTGGTTTATTTAATTAGTTTCCTATCAATGGTTTATTCATTCCCTATAAGTGGACATTTAGGTTGTTTCCAAAGTTTTACTATTATAAACAAGGCTATTTATTCATCTTTTCACAGTTGACCCATTATTATTATTTTTTTAATTTTATTTTTTATTTTTTTTAGCTGAGCCATCCTGCCACCTGTTGGCAGCTCAGTGGCAGCTCAGCTCGGGCTGGGACTCCAGCTTCTGTTGCTCAGAGCTCAAACTCTTGAGCAAGCTCTTAACCAACTGAGCCACTCAGTTGGCCCTGACCCATTATTTTTTGTAGTTTATCTTACTAAAAGTATTATTGCAAGGCCAAAAGCAATTCTTTTTTACATTAAATGGTTTACTGAATACTTAGTATTAATATATTTTGATCAGATGTAATAGTCCAATAAGTTAATAAGTTGAAGTAACTTCTGTACTTAAAATTCTGCAAATTGTAACTGAGAGAATATTATATACCAGGCACTGTACAAGACTCTAGAGAATTCAGAGGTGTAAAAGACACTGCCCTTGCTGTAACAGGAGTTTATAATCTAGTGATTATAGAATTGGAGTCAATAGCACAGTGATATGAGACTACTTTAGATTGTTCTATGCCTTGATCTTGCCATAATAACTCTTAAAGGAAAACCATGTAGATGTATTTATTTATACTTCCCTTGTCTTTTTCCCAAACAGGAAAGTAGTTCTGCTTGCAGGATGGGCATTGTTCTTATTCCTTGCATACAAAGTTTCCAAAACAGACCGAGAATATCAAGAATACAACCCTTACGAAGTATTAAATTTAGATCCTGTAAGTAGTATTTTTATATAATGCACATTAGTTTAATGATCCTGTGAAAATACTATAGGTCCATATCCTAAAAGAAATAGGGCTATGCCTAAAAAAATCAGACCTTGCTCAGTTAAATATTTTATTAAAATAAGACCTAATCCATTATTATTCTAATATACCTATGTTTTTAAAGCTATAGATGTTGATTGCCATTCTATTAAGGATTGGTTTGTAATTGCTAAAAATGTAAGAATATTTGAAGATGAGATGAGAAGTTAGTATATTTTTAAAAGATATGTGTAAGATTGCTTTAATGTAAAGTTAAAACCAGGAAGTTCATATATGTTACTTGGATGATAAAAATTTTATGACCCTGTATTAGTTGACACAAGGCAGTGTGTTAAGTCTTTATGTCTTATAAAGAAATGGTGTCATTATCATAGAAATTCAGGTTAACCTTGGGCATACCCCTTGGATGATCTCTTGATTGAACTTGACTGATGGTTCCCAAAAGTAAATAATCTTTGGGTATATCATTAGGAAGGTAGAGCTGAAATGAATGCTAGAGGTCATCTAGCCTTTTGTTTCTGATGGAGAAAATGAGGCCTGGAAAATGTGTGTCTTGTCTGGAGTCCCATAACTTCTTAGTAGCCAAGCTGAAGCTGGTGCTCTTTCCATTTTTTCCCTAAACCACTGTCTCTGTTCAGCAGATGGCTTGATCCAGAAATTCATTTAATACAAAGAAAGGAGTGTGTTTATGTTCTAGTTTTTTGCTTTGTAGAAGAAAGATTTACATTATCATTTGTTTTTTCTTACTGTGATGATCATGGTCATCAGAGATTTTAATTAATTAAAAAGTTAGGGGGCAATTTGATGCTACGAAAAATCAATATGAAAAACTTTTAATAGAAATTGAGTCCAAAGAAAAAAAATAAAAACAACAAAAAAAGAGATTGAGTCTAATTGGAGAACAATTAAGGTAAACTTAAGTATTTGCTTAATAAAATGTTGAAAAGCAGGTGAAACGAGATATTCTTCATATTATTTCTTAGAAAGGAAGCTAACCTTTGATTTGAGGATTTTTTTTCAGCCAGACTTAATTTACCGTGCTCATTCTTCAGCATTTCAGTGTCACTATCCTTTTATTTAAATATGGCGTTACAGTTGACCCTTGAACAATGTGGGGTTGGGTCACTGATCCCACTGAGGTGAAAATTCACTTATGACTTTTGACTTTAGTCAGCCCTTCGCATCTGTAGATGGGATGGAAAATAGTATTTTTGATCTGCAGTTGGGACATTGTAGGTGGGAATTAAAAAATACTGTTTTTGATCCTTAGTTGGTTGAATTCGCAGATGTGAAACTCAAGGATATCAAAAATACCCATGTATAGATGGACCTGTGCAGCTCAAACTCATGTTGTTCAAGGGTCAACCATATATGGTTTTAGTCTCATATCAGTGCCTAGTGTACTGCACGACACATAGTAGGTGCTCAATAAAATACAATATATTGGACAAAGTATATTTTTATTTAAAAAGTACATGGGGTGAAATTTATGGGACAAAATAGGTAAAAACCTCATTTTCTCTTTCTGAAAATACTGAGTAGTTCATATTTTAAGTTCAAAATGGGATGGATTTTGTTTTTACTGCATTGTGCTTATTTTTACTAAAATAAATCTTTTCCTTTTAGGGGGCAACAGTGGCAGAAATTAAGAAACAGTATCGTTTGCTGTCACTTAAATATCATCCAGATAAAGGAGGTGATGAAGTTATGTTCATGAGGATAGCGAAAGCATACGCAGCGTAAGTATCATAGTACCCATTCCACATTTTTAAGAGTGGTAAAGATAGTTTTCTATTTGAATAAAATAGTAAGTAAAATAGTTGTCATGTGCTTTTATTAAATGCTTACCTCATATGTTAAGTCTGTCATTTATAGAACTACCTGGCAACCCTAAAATGGTAATCTAAATCTTAATTTTAAGTAACTTAGAGTAGTGCTTTTGCCATACAAAGTTGGTTAAATTAAGTAGTAAGTTATATGTTAATTGAACTATTTTCTAAGCATCCTGATTAGAAGAGGGTAGACTTACACTTGCTTTCATTTCTAGGCTTTTTATTAGGCTGGGTCTATTTCTCTTGTTTTGGCAGTGTCTCATTTAAACTCTTTAAAGACTAGTTTAATTTTGGGAAAACAGGATAGAGTATATAAAATTTGAAGTAGTTATTCCTTGAGTATTAATATTAAAAGAACCAAAAGTTAGCTGGACTCTTTAGGACTCATGATAGGTATATCTCCAAACAACTCGTCTGTTGAATTAAAGAATAAAATACAGACAAGATGTCTTTTTTTTCGAGAATTCAGCAATCTATAATTTTGTGAGCTAATTTAAAAAATATAAGTAAATAACAGGATACTCATATTAATAGCAAACTTTAATTGGCACATGAGTGAGAGAAGTTTGGGAACTATTGTCATACTTGTTTTTGTGCTTATGGAAGTCTGTTGACTGTCTCCCCTCCCCCCTTTCTTGTGGGTGGCTTGTTATCCATGTGACTGTGATTCTGTAATAAAGCAGTGCCTTCAGGAGCTTCTGAAGCATGGACTACATTTTCTCTTCTGTACAGCAGATGTCCTCCAAATTGCTGTCTTTCAGGTGGTGTCGCCTCCTCCTTTCCCCCTTTCTTACTGTGTTTCCTTCAAGCATTTACTCTCATTGCACAATATTGCTGTGCTTTAGTTGCTGTCTTCAGGTAATTTAAGAAGAACTCAAGATTTCCAGAGGTCATCAGATAGCCAAGATTATTTAATTAGTAGTTTTAGTTTTGGTGCTTTTGGTGCAGTTATTCCCCCCCCCCCCATTCTTCTGGTATTGTAACATTTTCAAGTTCTCAGGTTACTGGAAATCTGACTCCTTATGATGTATGGTCATAATTCTAAAAAGTACAGAAGAATAACACATGGCCTTTGGTTATGATTGAGGTACAGAATGTTTTGTATTTAAAATGTGTTGCTAGTCTCTCAGACAAATGAAGAAGTAAATGATTATGGTATGCAGACTTTGAGATGTAACTTGTATAAGTATAACTAGATTAGATAAAGGGATGCATTTTATTCAGTATATGTTCTGACTGATTGAATTGAAGCCCCCATCTTACGTATAACTCTAGCAGCCTAAATATAACTCAGGCAACTTTCGGAATGCAGTTATAGGCTTTGATCTGCACAGTTTTTTAGAATCTGCTTTGGTCACAGGATATTTTCTCTTCCCTTATTTGTCCATTATAATAACCTAGCGGGTCATTCCTATATTTTAATATCAGATTTTAACTTAAAGGAAAGGAGGTCTGGTTACTTTTGAGGAGTTAGGTCAACTGTTGAATTCTGTGGTTCAATCTTGTGAATATAGTTGGGATTTGGCTTTCAGGTATAAAACCCATCTTTAAAGCTACTTTATAACAAGTGGGCAGCAGAGATGTTACCTTAAAGCTATTTTAATTTTTAAAAACTTGTTTTCATGTGTTCATACACCTGAATCTGTAACTTAGCTCTACATAGCCCACCCAGGGTCACTCACATATAATTTAGTGAAAGCATTCTGTAGATCAGGATTTATAATTTGAGGTTCCTGAAATTGTGTACAGAATTTATGTATATTTGTAAACGTGTATTTTTTTCCAGAGGAAAAGGGGCATATACTTCATTAGATTCATAATTGGATCTATGACACAACCTTCCACACCCAAAGTTAAG